AATTACTTTCTTTTTTATTTTAAAGATAAAAAAAACTAACAAAACAACAACAATAAGGGCAAAATCAATGCAACACAAAAACAACAAAAATGATACATGACCTCAAAACAAAATGATAGGAGTTGGTAATGGCTGCTACATTACGTACTGTTATCGTCAACCAAGTTGCTCAGTCCACCAGACGTAGGAATGTAGGAGTGATCAAACAATCAAAGATAGTAACAAGTAATAAGAAAAACATTGGAAATGATGCAGAGCTTCACCATACAAGACGGGAAGAGTTCAACAATGGTTCTGATTACCAGATACAGGCATGCAAAATTGGTCAAGAAAAAAGAAAATTCTAAACATTGACTGCTTCTTTCAATAAACCACAGATATCAATAATATACCTATACTAGCTATCTTTGTATACACATATAAATTTTGTTTTTCATTTTAAAGAGAAAATAGACAAAAAACAGAAGAACAAAACAAATACATAAACAAAGTGTCTAACTTAGAGAATTGGGCCAGACTCATTAGTCCCATTATTTGGAAATTTGATTAAAACATATTTGCAAAGTCCAGGTAAGGATTTTCTAAATACTCTTGAATAAAAAAAAAAAAAATAGGAATGATTTAATAAACTACAGTACAAGTTTTCCTTATCTCTCTGAATTAGAGATGTCATTTTAAGACCTCATGTTGCTAAAACTCAGATAAAGCAGGATTGATTATTTAAATTACTTCAAATGTATGCACTAATATTTATCCATTAATAGGTAAGACAGGAGTAAAAAATAGGACAAGAACAAAAATGGCACATATCACTCTGCATTTTTTATTAAAATTGGTTAAAATTCATGTGGATAAATAGAGAAAAAAATAAACTCTTACTTCTTTCAGAGTTTACCAAAGCATCACTTCTGGGAACACTTCAGTCTCAAGGAAAGGGACAGATGGTATTGACATAGGGGAAAGAAATTCCCAACCTGAAAGATACATAGGACAAATTCGTGTTCTCTAAAATTGAAGAATGGATCTTAGGAACAATGGAAGTTAAGAGCAGAGTATATTTACTGGGGTAAAGTATATTGTCCGAGAGGCAGAAGGGGACCTGAGTGGGTTGCCAAGCAACCTGCCTTTTCTAGGGATTTTTATAGAGGTGAGGCAGGTCCAAGGTGGGAAGCAAGGAAACTCATTGGTGGGCATGAGGCAGGACAAAACTATGATCAACCAATAAGATTATAAATACAATTCCTCAGGTAAAATAGGTTCTATCAATATCAAATGTGGAAGCAAGTCACTCAAGCGGGCATGAAATACAGAGCAGGATTTTTGTCCTGTAGGGGCTTGGGTAAGTGACTCCTCCTGGCTTTTTCAAGGTGATGGCTACCTATGTAGAATATCGATCCCTGATGTTCATCCCTAGGGAGGTGCATGGTGCATTTGTTTAATCCTCTGTCTTGAGGTCTGGTGCAAAGTTGAAGTGCTTGTCTCCCCCACACTTGAAAGGTACCTTGTTTTCCATACTGGCTCCTTGGAAGGCCGAGCCCTGTCTGGCTGCCTATAATATTTTTGTCTAGCTGAGCTGCCTACAACAATATCAAAACTCCTGAGTTCTCTGTTACTGTTCTTCTTGAGTGTTCCTGATGAGCCCCTCGGTGGAGAGTATATTCAACTCAGTAGTGCTTTTCTTTATTATCCAAAACCATGTAATCCAACAGGAATCTAGAGCTTGCACTAAAATTAGGTCTGATTTCCCTAAGCCCTCTCTGTCCTGGCTGCCAGCATGATATTGTTAATAGAGAAAAGAATCAACCACCCTGGTATTTTTACTACAGACAAGAAAGAGTTCAGATGTGCCGGGGCATTGAGGTTATAATCTTATCTAAGTAAAGCAAGAGCCTCTCCTCCTTGTCCATATCACCATAAAAGTAGTAGTGTGGAAGAGATGCTCCTTTGCTGAGAAAAGATGCATTTAATGATCAAACTGTCTTACTGGGGCGTTTAGGCCTGGAACCAGTGAAGAAAATAGCATTAGACTATTACCTCAGCAGTGGCTTTTGCCATACAATATTGACAAACTTCAATTAGGTAGAACACTGAAAACAAGAAATACTTATTTCAAGGGCCTTATCAGTATGGCTGTAATTAACTGATTAGTGACACGAAAAAAATAACATTGAAAAAGCCACAGAGAGCATCAGTGCTTGTCAATAGCTAAATGAAATCATTCTGCCAGGAGTGGGCCGAGAGCCATGTTTTATGCTTTTTGAGCTTTTGGCATGCAATGCAGCCTATATATCAGAGATTATAAACGACTCTGTGTGTGTGTGTGTGTGTGTGTGTGTGTGTGTGTGTGTGTGTGTGCACTTTGTCTCTTGTGTGTGTGTGTCCAGTGTTCGATGGCAGTTGTACTGTCCTCCCAGAAGCCTCTCAGAAGCTTCATGCCTACCTGGTTTGTTGGTGACCCAGCTACTATTGTGGGCATCTGTAAGAGTCACCCAGAGAGCACAAGCAGCAGCAGCAATTGCATTCTACCATTTGTATCTCGAGAGATGTTTGTCTTTAATCTGCAGCAGTCCTGGAGTTTAAGTTTGGTCACTGATGGAGTGGCCATGCCTCCTTACAGTGTATGAATTTGATTCAGTCTAGAGTTTTTCTCAAACTATGTATGTTTTCCAAGTAGGAGACATTAAATTTGGAATGTCTATTGGGCTCTAGATATGTAGTATTTAAAGTATTTCCTAGGGACACACTAGCTGATGTGTCTTTTCCACAAATAATCCTGAAAAGCTCAAATTTATTAAGAACACTTTTTAGTTTGGTAGGTTAAAAGTTTCCAATTAGCTTTTTCTTTAGCTAGGAAATCTATGTTTACATATTGTGCATAGGCACTTTATCTTCCAGTCAGGTCCGTAGTTTTATGTCTTTGAAAGTCATGGCCCAAACTGCCTTTATAAGTATCTATACCAATAATCTGGGTTAAAAATTTCCCTACTTTGTGGAGTGAAAAGTCAAAAATCACTGTGTATACTAAGTTAATTATGTAAATTTGCAATTCAAAAATATAGCTTCAAAAAAGAAAGAAAAGAATGTATTGTCATAAGTAAGGCTGTATCACAGGAAAATTCTTTATAAAAGTAGAGATATATATTTCATTTCACTGATATGTTACTGAGAATCACAGAAGTATGTGGAGCAGGCATTTAAGTAAGCAACTAATATAGGTCAGTATTTAAAATAAGATTTGTTAACAAAATAAATGAAAATAGTGTAATGGTTCACTCATTGTATGAACTTGAGAAGTTTAGAAGTTTAGCTAAGTGACTCAGCAGAGGACCAGGGTGCTCACTTTGTAAACATCCTGAGCCTGTGCAAGTGGAGGGCAGGGAGATGATGTGAGGCTACACTCACCCTAGGAGCTGGTAGCCTGCTCACAATATAAAGCAGAATCCGAGGCTTGATTCTCTCCTTTTTGCTTTTGCCATCTTCTGCCACCTTGAACTGTTGCCCCTCACCATGTGCCACTCTGCCTTGGAGCCAGCTGATTGTGGCCTGAAACCTCCACAAACTGTGAGCTAAAAAAACCCTCCCTTCCTGAATTTTGGGCATTGAGTATTTTGTCTCAGCAGCAAGAGAGAAGTAGCTAAGACAAATGGTAATCAGAGAAACTATGTATACAGTTATAGTGAATAGAATCCAAAGCTAAAAGAAAGACATCTGAGGCATTTTTCCAGTTAGGATATTATAGTACTTCATGCAAATTAATAAATTTAATTTTAAATTGATATTTTGTTAGTAAATAATGTTCAAATTTTACTTCATAGAACTATACAGAAAGGTAAAATTGTCTCAATATTTTTATATAGCTCCATTAGTATCAACACCACACATAATTTCTCAAAAAAAATTTTCATCAAGCAATATATTCACTGAACCTTTATTTTGTGTAAAAGTATTCTTATTCTTCAAGCAAGGAAGACCAGAAGTCTTACACATTGCTTTAAAACTTAATTTGCAATACATGAAGCTTTTTTACTCACTGTATTGAATTTTATTGCTTCCAACTCAATATCAGAACCAGTCCAGATAGACAAAATGAATACCATCATCAATTGAGATATTCTAGAATTTTTTCTTGAGGTCACCTTCTACACGAAACCTATTGGTATTCCATGAATGTATATAGTGCTGTGCATTCAATATAAAAGACATGCAAAAGGGACAGAATCCTCAGAGGAAGAGGGTGATCGGCACACATATTCATCACTGAAATAGCAAGCGACAGAAAGCAGAGCTGCAGACGTGCTGTGTAACCCTGGACAGCTGTAACTCCACGTGAGTCCTGGGAGGAATGCCGTCCACACAGCCATCTGCTCCCAAACACTCCCGACATCCTAGCATCCATTTACCACTGTCACAAGTCAATTAAGGACATTTGCCTTAAACACGGCATACAAAAATAGAAGACAAAGTAACATTGAACTGTCAACACTTTGCTTTGATGGCTAATCCAAGGAATAGGAATGAAATTTTAAGAGGTGTGGTACGGTGGGAGGAAGATGTAAATTTGCATTTTTAAAAGCATGTGAACTACCTAAACATCTCAGGGTGATTCTCTGTCAAAAATAATTCAGATATGGAGATTCTATCAGAGAAACCACAGGGTCAGTGTTCATTATTCACAGCTGAATTAAATCAGGAATATTTGTGTATGTCAGATTTGCTTCAACACTGGCCAGTGAAATTATTCTGAGGTTTTGTAGAGCTACTTTTGTGATTTGAATAAATCTGAGCTCAGATGTATGGTTTGCTATTTTTACCTGGGTTTTGCAATAATCTTGCAATATGCTAGTTCTTTATTGGACTGCTATATCTACATTCACATAAATATGTGCTAGAAAGATTTATTACAAAAATTAGACAACTTCATCAGTGTGTTAATTATAACAGTATACGCAAAGTGATGAAATGGAAGTAATCGGTACTTCAGAGCAATTAAGTTTTCATACCTTACACTTGAACACTCCTGTCATGGGACATGGATATTCCTGCCGACAGTGAACGGTAACTGCACTGTGACCTGTGAAAACACAAATAGTAAGTTCTCTTAAAATTTATCATAGTCCATTTGTTATTCAAATGACCTTAGTCATGGTAGTTGCTGAAAAATTAGTAAATTATGTTTTGGGGAAAATTATACACAATAATAACATCTTAAGAGTTTATAAGCAAGGTTTAGTATGTTGAAAATTTAATATATTGTCAATTTTCTATGAGACAAGATTCAGTGCATTGAATTTAATGCAGATTCTTATAGTTTCGATGGTAAAACACTTATGCTAAAATGCTGGGGATTTAAAATTGAAAACAATTCATCTTGCTTTTCCCTCTTACTGAAAATCTAGAAACTTTTGTAACTTTAATTCCTCTTGTCACTGTTGTTGCTCTTGCTGCTCAGTTTTCGTGCACTCACCATGACATTGTCATTTTAATCTGGGGGAACAAATGGTCAACAAGAAGGACAAAAACTGTGATAGTTCAAATGCAGTGTTTCCTTTGCCCTGGGGTAGCAAGTCTCCCTTCCGTAGAGTCTTACAGAAGAGTCAGGATCTAAGAATAAAAAGACATATTTAATGATTGATTCTGGATTAAGACACCTACCATAGGTAGAATCTTTCAGAGAATGAGACCAAAAATAGCACAAATAATTTGAGAAAGACGACATTATATTTCAGGATTTTCAATTAAAATTAAAGGGCATGTTTTTCAAAACGCCAGTTCAATAAAATGCAAATCAGTGGACTATCTGAATTCTAAAATGTGTAGGAGAGGCTACTGTTGATGATGAACAAACTAGCAAATATAATGAAGAGAAAAAAGATGGATGTGTGATCTTTCCTTTGACTTATTAGACTAGAGAGCTTACAGAGATCTTATCAATCATAAAATAATACCAAGAAATAATTATAAATAGCATTTTGTTTCCCAAATTAACAATTTAGAATAAACCAATTTCTTAAAAATCAGAAATTAAAGCTGACATTTAAGATGCTGGAAAACTTGACCAATTCTCTGTCCACTAAAAAATTTATCTCCATGAGTTTAAAACTTTCTAAAATTAAATCTTCAAGCCTGTATGGTTAAATTGCTGCTGACTTGAACTAACCCTTATAGAAATTAGTATCAGTTCTACACAACTTTCTTTTTTTTTTTTTTTTTTGGTTTTTCTCTGGTACCGGGAACAGAACTCATGACCTTGCACTTGCCAGGCAGGCACTTTTGCCGCTAAGCTAAATCCCCAGCCCCAGTTCTACACAACTTTCAAAACAAGATGCCAATATTATAACAAAAATATTATAAACCATAGCCCTTATAGAAACAAGGTGCTTAACCAAAAAGAGTATGACTAAAATGACTGACAACAAAGAAAAAAGTCAGATATATCAATAGGTAACATATATCTGACAAAATTCAACAGCAAATTATCATAAAAATTCATAAGAATCTCTAATAGGACAAATTCATGTTGGTGAAGATACTTAATGAAAAATACATACGTCTATTATTCTAAATGTTGAAAATCTTAGTTACGTCCCTTATTAGTAGGAATAAAGTTAAGAATGTCCATTCTGTAATTTTGTTTAATACTCTGGAGGGTTTGCTGGTTCAGTGAACAAAAAAAGAAAAGAAAACTAAGGACATTTAGGTTATAAAGAGAATTAAAATACAGTTATTTTTATTTGCAGGGAAATAATCATCTACATGGAAATCTAAAGAATCCAAAAGTGTCAATGAGCTACTAGAATTAATTTGGTAAGAGGGAATATAGGTCACTAAAGAAACTACATGTAAATTTAGCAACCAACAATTAAAATGAAATGGAAAGATAATTCTATTAATACCACCACTCTAAAACATGAAATTAATCATGAACTCAACAAAATATACACCAGGTCTTCTTATTGTCAACTATAAGCACTGCCGAAAGGATGATTTGGGGAATCATAGCATCCTACCTGAAATCCGTCACTCTGGTGTAAATATAACTTTGAGCTGAAAGTCATCAAAGAAAAACAGACAAAGGATGAGCTCTCTGCTCTCACCTATGTGCCAGAAATGAAGGGCACCAATTTCCTTGAGCAGCCACCTTCCTTTTGCTTGTAGTAGACATGGGAGTGATGGAGACCACTATGAAGCAGACCTGAGCAGGATTTAAATTAAGCAGTTGGCTTTTCATGTTCACTTGTGAATCTGTCCAAGGCCTAGGCTCCTTATCTTGAAATGGCAAACTCATAGTAAGTGAACCTCTGTGAGTCACTAATCCCTACTAGAACCTGTAGTGGTGATGAAGCCAGAAAGCCTCAAAGGATGAGAAGGAAGAGACCATTAGGCAGAGAGCAAAGTCAAACCCTCCTGCAGAATTCACAAATGCTCAGCAAACCTGAAGGGAGGTCTGGCATATGTCATATGCCAAGCTAAGCATCCTGTCTTGGCTGTAATGAACAGACCCTTATATCTCCTCTTTCATCAGAAGAATCTCTCTCCTAAAGGCATGGCATCAGATGAGGGGTCTCTGGGTACCTAAGGCAAACCCAGGTGACTGACAGCCACAGGCAACATGTTGGCTCCAACCAGTATAAATGGGCTCTAAGGTCTTCAAAGGGTGACTACTGCTCTGGCGTAAAGAAAGATAAGCTTATGTCTCTTGTAGGAAAATGGATACACATTGAGAATATAATGTTAATTGAAATAAATCAGACACAACGGTTACATATCTGTGGTTTCTGTTATACAAGAAACTCAATATACAAATAAAGTTAGATTATAGGAAATATGGAAGTATTTTGCAAAAGGGAAGGGGAATAAGCAATGGAGGAGGAGGAGAAGGAGAGGGTAAGTGGGTGGAAAAAGAACTCATACGTGTTACATGCATACATATCAACTCTTCACGATGAATAATATTAAGTGCCGCAGTAGTGTACTAATACAGATAAAAACTGAAAAAAGATAACCTGGGCACAATACTGCATTACACCACCTCTTTATCATTTTGTGGTGAGCAATTTCAAATGATTAACAAGTGGAAGAATATTTTTCATCACATACAGTTACATTTAAGCTTCACAACAATCTTACAAGGTAGTTTGAGAAATAATACTGAAGCAAACAGAAAGACAGGAATAGAAACAGCAGATGATGATTACATGAAATCTGTATTACAGTTTCGGGAGTATGGCCATTTTCACTACAGCCATACTATGTTGGATCCGTACTATGTGGGATTCATACTATGTTGAATCACTACGTTGGTTCTTCGTATCCATGATCAAGGGATATCTTTCCACTTTCTGATATCCTCTTTAATCAGAGTACACTGTTTCAGAGTACTATAATTTTCAATATATAAATCTCTTACTTCCTTTGTGAGATTGATTTCTATGTATTTCATCTGGGGGGATATTACTGTAAAGGGAGTGGTTTCACTAACATCTCCCTCTGAGTGTGTTGCTCACGTACAGGAATACAATTGATTTCTGAGTGTTGAATTTGTTTCCAGGTACACTGCTAAATTTGGTTATTAAATCTAGAAGTTTTTTGGTGGGGTTTTTGGAGTTTTTTTTCCCTATGTCTTTTGAGGTATTATGTCATCTGCAAATACTGATAATACAACTTCTTCCTTTCTCATTCCTATTCCTTTTATTTCTCTCTCTTGTCTCATTGCTCTGACTAATGGTTCCAGAACTATACTGAATAGGAATGGTAATAGTGAACATCCTTGGGGGCTGGGGATTTAACTCAGTGGCACAGCACCCGCCTGGCAAGCGCAAGGTCATCAGTTCAATTCCTGGTACTGGAAAAAAATTTTAAAAACATCATCCTTGTCTTGTTCTTGATTTTAGAGTGAAAGAGAAAATACTCCTAAAATTCACTTGGAAACAGAAGAGATAAAAATAGCAAAGCAATGCTAAGCAACAAAGGCAAGTCAGGAGTATCACAATACCTGACTAGAAATTATATTACAAAGCTATTGTGATGAAATCAGCGTGGTATTAGAAAGAAAAAAAATACCTGAGTATCAGTGGAACAGGATAAAAGCTGCAGATGCGGCTCCAAACATTCAGCCACCTTACCTTTGACAAAGGGGCCAGATATGTTCACTGGAAGAAAGATAGTCTCCTTAATAAATGCTTCTGGAAAAACTGGCTCTCCACAGGCTCAAAACTAAAACTAAATCTATGCCCATCACTACTCACTGAAGTAAAGTCAGAAAGCACCAAGGATCTAAGTATAAAACAGAAACACTGAATCTACAGGAAGAGAACATAGATAGAAGTGTGAACACATAGGTGTAAGTGGAGACTTCATGAACGAAGTCCAGACCACACAGGAAATTCTACAAAGAATCAACAAATGGTATTTTACTTTACTGAAAAGTTTTATACAAAAAAAGAAATCGCCAACGGAGTGAAAAGATAACCTACAGAATGGGAAAAAGTTATAGACAGATGTCCTCCTAACAAAGGACTTATATCTAGAATAAATAAAGAATTGAAAATAATTAGGCCCCCTAAATTCAAAGACTCAATCTAAAAATGAGCACCTGAGATGAATATGCACTCCTCAGATGAAGAAATACAAACAGGCAAATAAATACATAAAAATATGTTCAACTTCATTGGTCACTGCAAGAAATGATGATTAAAACAACACTGAGATTTCATCTCACTTCAGTAACAATGGCTGTCATCAAGAAATCAACCAATAACAAATGCTGGAGGGCCTGTGGGAGAAAGGAATCTTTCTTCACTATTGGTGGGAGTGTAGACTGGTGCAACCACTGTGGAACTCAGTGTGGAGATTCCTCCAAAACTAGGATTAGAGGTTCTATTCAACCCAGCTATTCCCCTTCTGAGTATCTTCCCAGAAGAATTAAAAACATCATATCACAGCAATATGTGTGCACCCATGTTTATGGCAGCACAATTTGTTATAGCTAAACCTTGGAAGCAACCCAAATGCCCATCAACTGAGGAATGGATAACAGAGATTTTTCTTTATACAATGGAGTATTACTCAGCT